GTACTTTTAGGCCTGTACTTGGAATAGATTTTTTTCTCTTGTTCCTGTTCGAAGGTAGTTTTGGAGACAGGGTATTGTTTTTACTAATGGGAAAGTCTGGAGGTGAGTTTTTGGCTTTGATCACATCCTTTATGCACAGAATGAAGAATGATTATATACTTACTTTTTTTTCATTTGTAAAGTGGTGTAAATTTATTGATTAGCGTGGACTTACACTGACCTGAAATAATTTCTGCTGTATCTTAAATATTTCTTTATGTACAGTCAAGGATTTCAGTCCCATGCAGCATGTCAGAGATCATGCTGCAGTAAATCTATTCAAATGTAAACCTGTTCAATTCAATTACCAGTTTATAATAAAATTTGCTGCTGCAGCCTCCACGTTTGTCACAGCAGTCTCTACATGCTGATAGCACAGCATGCCTGGAAATTGACAGCCTAAATCTATTTACAAAAAAAATTTAGTTGCAGACCTGAAATAAAATCAAGTTTAAGCAGCTTTGAGAGGAGCATCTTATTCCGTACAAGAACTTGTGCACATCTGCCAGTGTGTATCTTAGCCACAAATTTTATCTTGCTAGTGGTGAGTTTTCTTCTGGAAATTTTCCTTAACAAACAGTTTTAAAATGTAATCTTAAGTGAAACAATTATCAGACATTGCTCATCCCTTCACATTTGGAAGGGCTTTATTACATTGTCATTTGTGTATTGTCATATAAAATTTATGATAGAAATCACAGTGCCTGAAAAAAGATCCTGAGTTTTGTTTTAGCTTTTAGGGTAAGGTCCAAAAACCACTTAGAGTAAACTCCATGTTAAATGATTTATTGTGGGAAGATAATGGTACTTTTCATCCAGCACCTACTATTTCTGCAGGAGACCAAGTAGTGTTAGGATTTTGAGGCTGTGTCTTGGAGGTCAGACCCTAGGAGGGAATTGGATTTCTAGTCTTGTTTAATAGAGTGGAGCAGGGAATTTCTGTATGTATTCTCAAGGATGTTGACGGGGCATAGCTATCAATACCTAGATCAAAATTCTCTAAGATTTGTAAATTGTGGGCCAGAAGCTAGAGAAGTAAGGATAAAGCGGTGTTGTACTGGGCTGAGCTGGAGTGGGATTGAAGTACTGGCTCCTGTCTCCATCACCTATTGTGTAGCACAAGAAAGTTATTACAGACTGATTCAGAGGAATGCTTCATTTTGATTTAGCCTCTGGGCTCTTACTTAAAAAGTTAAGTCTAGGCCTATGGACTTCTTTGAGTATGCCTTGCACTTCATACTGAAGCATTCATTAGATACTGATGAGCTTTTAAGCACGTTACAAATATGAGGATGTCATATCTTCATTTACTTTGCTAGGTAGTGGTTATTAGCAGCCCAGCAGAATAATCTCAAAGCAGAAGATTTGCATTTTTTTTATTTTTAATTTTGTGTCTACGTATTACGAAAAATCAGGTTTTCCAGGAACACAATTGGTTCTTCTCCTGAAATACCATTTTTTGGACTGTACTTATGTTTTGGTGGATTCTCTCATACTCACAAGAACAGATGAAGCAATATAAATACTTGTGTGTATTCTAGGGAAAGGCTTTTCAAGTGTATCCATAGTGTTTTCATTAAATAATACTGCAATTGCTAAAAGAAGATGGGGAGGAAACAACAATTTGCCCTTTGTAAAAATGAACACTTTTCTCTAGTTTTCATTTCTGTTGGTTAATAAACATCTGTGTTCATGTACAAGACAGGGTGCATATGCTATAGCACAAGCTATTTTCCTTTTTATACAGCTAGTTGGAGTCAGCTGATTTTTTTGTTTTCTAAGAAGGAAAATTGGATGTAAATACCTGACTTTTTCCCTGTTGCTAGTTGATCTGATTGAATTTGACTTTTAGTCTTTCATTGGTACTGTATGCTTTTTAATGTGATAGAAGTTATTATTCCAAGTTTATTATACCACAGATCTTGCTCAAAATAAATAATGAGAAATTAATGAGAAGTGAGAAATAATTCCACTTGAGTAATTATTAAAAAATAAAATAACTTTTTCTTTTAGAAGCAGTATTTATATAACTATTTTTTTCAAGAGGTTATTACATGCTTTGGTTTTCTCTATTAAGGCAAAGCCATAGCCTCAGTTTTATCTATTCCTTTATTGTAGCAAGCTTAAAATTACAGTCCAGAGGGCAACCTACTGAGAGGCACTAACAGCTTTTAGGCCATCTGAATATTGTATCTTGTCTTAGTTCTCACAGCATTGAGCAGCGCTAGTTCATACTTTTTACAGGGCTGTTGACACCAAAACATGTCTCATACATCCTTTATGTCTGATATCTGCATGTTTGCAGAATTTTTAATGGATGTTTTATGGTGGCTGATGTACATTGCTTGTTATTTCAGAAAGTGTAGTTCATAAGTGGGTGGTTCATAAGGAAATAAATTTGTTTGAAAAGTAAATTATCCTTTAATGAAATGGCAGAGAAATTTGATTGCTTCACATAAGTATGCTTGTGTTTTCCTTATGAATGGATGGCCTTTACAAATTTTCTTCAGTCACTTTGTACCTAGTTAAAACAGAGTGACAGAATTCCAGCCTGTGTAGTCCAGATATTAACAATGAGAGGAGAGATCCTCACCTAGTATTAATGGAAGCTGATGGAGCTACATTGGATTGCTGTTCATTTGGTAGGTTTAGCAACCTATGCTATAAGGAAATCTGAAATATACCTTTTTGTGTCCATGAATCTTTACTGTTGCTAGCTGTCACTCAGTCTCTAAAGATTAATAAAAACTCTCT